AAGTAAATTTCAAACTGCGTACCCCTCCTAGCGCCAGAAAAATGAACTACAACCAAGGGGGCAGAGGAGCAGCTGAGTGAAAAGACTGCGCATAAAAGCCTTTCTTGCTCCTCCATCCGCACGCGGGAGACAGGACTCCTTTGCTCTTGTCTACTGCTAGAGCTGCTAATAAAGTTTGACTTGAATAAGTGAGAGGCCTGGCCCTGCTTTCCCCTCAAGGGCTTCTTCCGCCCGTAACACAGATTCTGAGCGCCACGCAAGAGGCGGGGCGAGGCCTAAAGGGCAGGACCGGAAGTGAGGTCACCTCTCCCGAGGTGAAAGGTTAGCGGAAGTGCCGTTCTTTCCTTTCTCCTGTAGGTCCTGGTGGTTGCTGTCGGTGAGTAGAGGCTTGTCCCGGGTCTTCCAATCCACTGCCATCCGTGGCCTGAGGGTCGAGTTGTGCGGCGGCGCCGGGTGCTTTCCGTTCCTCGGTCTCTGGCGGCTTCGTAGCGGATCCTGTTCTGCCAGCAGAGCCCGCGGGCGGCCTGGGCCAAGAGGGCAGTGAGGGCAGCCTGAAGTTCCGGGCCCACAGCCTCCGCTTGCGGGTTTCTGAGCCGTCCTTTCTCCTTCCTCTCTGCAGAAATGGGCAAGTTCATGAAACCCGGGAAGGTGGTGCTGGTCCTGGCCGGACGCTACTCCGGACGCAAAGCGGTCATCGTGAAGGTACCAGCCTTGGGAGCCTCTGCGCTGTCGCCTCCCGGCGCTTTCGGAGGGCGGGCAGGCTTGCAATTCAGGACATAGATTAGGGGCCTGGCCCACTGAGCGTTGCGGGTGGTGGGGGCGGGGTGGTGAGCGCGTGAGAGCTTTGGTGAGAGGAGGAAGCAAAATAAAACAAATGTAAGTTGAATTGGGCAGCTGACATATCGCGTCCTCTACCGAAGAGGCTTTAAGTCATGACAGTGGCCACCGTTGCTTGAACGCTTGCTTGGTGCCTGGCGCTGCCTTCCAGCTGTTGCCAGGTCCGATCCTCGCAGTGCCCATGGGGACTTGCTTTACTGAGAAGGTTTGGAGGTGTTAGTAATTCACCTGAGGTCTAACAGGTAGTGAGTGCTGCAGCTGGGACTCTGCAGAGAGACGTCGTTTAGTCAGAGCGGTCACTCTGCATAGCCCTTCACTGTTGGCCCTCTGCCTGCCTCTCGTAGTCTCCTGTGAGGTCTGTGAGCTCTGGCTGCATATGCCCCTGCTTTTGGCTGTTGTGGGGTCACCGGGGCACCCTTGGTTCCCCTTTCTCCACCTGAGTCTGGTTTCTGGAGTTAGGCGGCCAGTTTGGGCCTCTGTCCCTTAGTGGCAGCGCAATCGTGGAGGAAATTAAGAGATGTAAAGTCCTAAGAACCGGTGCTTGGCACATAGCAAGCACTCCGTAAATGTTAACTCTTGTTTCTTTTAAATCTCTTACTTCCCTGGAATCTTTCCAGATTCTTCCTGGAGGGAGTGAATACCACCCTTACTCCTGCTACTCTGTGGGCATCTAGCGTAGTACTTAGAATGTCTGCTTCGTGTGATTTTTATAACAGTGGGTCTTGGAGACCCAGGCGTGGGGCTGTTCTATACATGCCCTGCATCTGGCAGATTTTAATAGGCCTTCAGTTAAGAACTAATGTGATTCTTGCTCATTCAGAACATTGATGATGGCACCTCAGACCGCCCCTACAGCCATGCTCTAGTGGCTGGAATTGACCGCTATCCCCGCAAAGTGACAGCTGCCATGGGCAAGAAGAAAATCGCCAAGAGGTCAAAGATCAAATCTTTTGTGAAAGTTTATAACTACAATCACCTCATGCCCACAAGGTGAGCCTTCCAAGCATGGGACTGAAGGCGACTTTTTTTTTTCCTCCTTTCTGCCCTGCTGAATAGGGAGACAACCTTGTAGCCACTCCAGCGTGGGGAATAGACATCGTTTTCAACTTGTCACTTATAAAATGGCTGTGGTTTCCAGTGTTGCCTCTTTAATCTGTGTTGAAACTGTTCACGTTCCTGTCATTTTCTGTAGTGACTTCCCTGACTTGGCCAGGCAGGATTGAAAAATCTCTTTCAAGCTTGCTCTTGATCTCTCTCCTCGCCTGAAAATTCTTTGTGTTGATTAAAGATTGTTGCATTTGTGTCCAGCCACAGTAAACGTAGCCATAAGATCTGACCTGCCCTCGTCCACTGTTCCACCGTCGAGGATAGTCATTACAGGCTTTCACAAATGTTTGGTAAATAAGTGAAAGCAGGTCTCCCCCTGTTAATTCCGCTCAACTGCTGGGCCCTTTAGTTCCTGGCCTTTCACAGTAGTGTGTAGCATATACACTATCTTGGTACAGAGTTATAAGGAAATACAAGATTAGAGAGAGACTGACCAATAATTGCCCAAACCCAGCAGCATGCGCCTTGAAAGTTTGCTACTCAGGGTGCATGTTTACCTTAATTTGCTGTTTCTCAGTTGCTGGAAAGCAGTGAGGCTGAGCCAGCTAGCCACTCAGCTTTTGCGTTGTCCTAATGACACTGACCCTGCATAGGCAGAATTTGAACAACACTAAATAAAATGGCTCCAAATGGAAAGGTAGCCAGCCGCCATGATCATAGTAAAGATCTAATAAAGTGATGGTTCTTAGTTAGAAAAAATAAAGTAGTTATGGAGAATTGAGAGTGAAATGTGAAGTTTTTCAGTGGTTTGAAACTATGTAAATAAGTCTGTTAAAATTGTAAATTTCCAGAGAATGTCATCAGGACTTTGGCACAGCTTTTGATGTTTGCTCCTATGGAGTTAGACCCTAACACCCCAATGTCACAGGAGTACTTGGGGGGGAAGGTGAAGGCCCTGGCAGGCAGCCTGTGGCTGCTCCTACCTCCCTGCCCTTGTCCCCAGGTACTCTGTGGATATCCCCTTGGACAAAACTGTTGTCAACAAAGATGTCTTCAGAGACCCTGCTCTTAAACGCAAGGCCCGACGAGAAGCCAAGGTCAAGTTCGAGGAGAGGTAAGTAGGCTTGGGTAGTGGATGCTGGGGTATGCTTTCACTGTTCTCTCTGAAGGGAGTTTTGTCTTGTTCTCTCTTCATTGGCGTCCTTTTTTCTCCCTCTCCCCTCTAGATACAAGACCGGCAAGAACAAATGGTTCTTCCAGAAGCTGCGGTTTTAGATCTGGTTTGTCTCAGTCATTAAAAATACAAAAAATCCTTGTCTGTGTGCTGCATGCATTATTGACTGGGGCAGAGCATTCATATGAGAGACACCGGGTAGAGGATGAGCGGCTGTGGGGAAATAAAAAGGCTTGACTGCCTTTGTGAGGCTACTTCTGTTCCCCTACCCCATCAGTTGCCCCTTGATAGGTAAAGTGTGATACTGAACTGTTTCCCCAGAATGGCTGCTCTTGACAGCTTTAGGTGTAGCATTGTTTAGCATCCTTGGCTTCGACCCATTACATACATAGAGAACCCTCCACCCCATTGTGAAAACCAAAGGCTCCTCTCAGTGAAGACCAGCTACTTTGGATTCAAAGTCATTAACCTGAAGTGGTTTGTTTAACCACTGAGTGCCAGCATCCCACCCTGCGACTGAGATTTAGCAGGTCAGAAAACTTGTCAGGTGATATGGTGCTACTCGGATGAGGACCACGCTGGAGAACTGCTCTAGATAATAAAGATGGTGCTGACGATGAAGTCCTGAGCCCCAGAGCAGCCATTGCTAGTGGGACCAGGGAGAGGTCCCCAAACAGTCTGGCTAGCAAAGGTTGGCAAGAAAGGATGTGATTGGAGGGGCTTGGGCATTGGGTTGTGTCACCACTGTGTGTTGCAGGAGAGGCATTTGGACCTCCTATCTGTGATTTTACCTTTAGATACTTAATTGTGACCCTGTTTTACTGACAAAATGTGCTCTCCTGCTGAGCTGCTTCTAGGTCACTAGATGGAACCAGGATTCAAACAGGCTTATTTTTTCAAGGCTTGCACTTGGCACACTTCCATCTGGGATGGTGGGGAGGTGTTGAGAAAGGGACTTGCTAAGTTATTCTTAGCAGAAAAATCCTGGACTGGGTGAAAATATTGGAAATGTGTTGTGTACTTTCACATGTGCACGCTTCACCCTTAGAACACTGGGCATCTCTTTTGAGATGGACTCCTGTTAAGTACCTTGCCTACTCAGTCACAAATGGAACTGAATTTAAACCTTCCTCTGAAGATTGAGCAAGTTCCACTCTGCCTCAGGGCCCAAGTTCAAATAACAGTTCCAGCCCGGTTTGGATACATGCTTTACTTAGCAATGTGACCTTGGGCAAATTCCTACACCAAAGTGCCTCAGGAGTTTAGAATCTAATTTGTAAAATGGGGGAAATAGAAACAACTTTGTGAGATTGTCTTGAAGATGGAGTTAATTTGTGTAAAGTAGAACCAGTATTGGGCACGTAGCATAGCTCTCAATAAATTGTAGTTAGTTACTGCAGCCTTGTGAACTTGGAGGGGCTTTATCTGTCCTGGTTGCATTTCCTCATTCAATTATTTTTATTTTTTTTTCCTTTTTCTCCCCAAAGCCCCCCAGTACATAGTTGTATATTCTTCGTTGTGGGTCCTTCTAGTTGTGGCATGTGGGACGCTGCCTCAGCGTGGTTTGATGAGCAGTGTCATGTCCGCGCCCCGGATTCGAACCAATGAAACACTGGGCCGCCTGCAGCAGAGCGCGGGAACTTAACCACTCGGCCACGGGGCCAGCCCCTCATTCAATTATTAAGTCGGCGTGTGCCCAGCATCATTCTAGGCTCTGGGGGATATATTAACAAAGCAAGCAAATGCTAGCAATAGGCTTGTGCTGGGATCCAGTGGTTGGTTGGGACCAGTGTTTAGTTTGCAGTTGCTTGTGGAGTAGCTTCCCCTGAGACCTTGTAGCTGGGTGTAGTCCTAGAACTTCAAAGATCAGGGAGACTCCTCCCAGGGGTGGGGAAACCTGCTGGGGGCATGTGGTCACGTGGTCACGTGGTCACGGAAGGGCAGGGATTTCCCTGAAATGAAAGTGAAGGCAAAGAGCCTGCAGGCAAACCTTCAGAAACATATTTCAGGCCCGGCTAGGGGAGACCAAAGCTGCTCAGAAGGCACAAGCAAGAGTTGAGTTGCCGTAGACTCCCACTTTTGCCCTGCTCTGAAGCCTCACCTATTGCCGACGGGACCACAGACCCATGGTAAGTGAGGAAGGGTCGGTGGGGAGAGGCAGAGGAGCACTCCTTGCCTGGGAGTCTGCAGGTGTCTCAGGGCCTGGTGGCCAAGCCTGTGCCGGCCCAACTCAGACCTGCTGAAGGTCTGGAGAGAGACACGGCTGAGACTACCTCTCCCCAGTGGAGTGTGGCCCCTAACCCATCGCCTCAAAAGCAATTCTATAACCTGCACCTCAGGAGCTGGTGAATTCTGGTGTGAATGTGCATTTTTCTGGAGAGAGAATCCATAGTTTTCATTAGATACTCAAAGGGTTTGGTGACCCAAAAAGCTTAAGAAGTGCTCTAATGACAATTCTAAAAGTTTAAGAATTGCTAACACGTGTGCTTTATCTCCTGCGATATTCCCAAACAAATTCTCCCCCTCCTTATATTTCCATCTCAACTGAACGTTGGCCCCCTTCAGGGTCAGAGGAAGAAGTGCTCCTCTAAGAGCTAACCTTCCCCCTGTCTGCCGTCATCCGTTCCTGATGTGTGAACGCCCCTACTCATGCTAGACCAAGCCCAGGGACGACTGTCCCCCATTCAGCCTGTTTACCATTGATCCCCACTGCCTCGCACTGTGCCTGGCATGCAGTAGGCACTCAATAAACAACTGTTGAATGAAGGAATCTCATCCCCTCTCGATTTCTCAGTTGGAAATTTTTCATTTGCCCCTCAAATGCAGTAAGAAAGACCACGGGCTCTAGAGCCAACCTGCCTGGTTCCAAATCCTGGTTCCTCCAATTGTGTGGCCCTGGGCAACTTATGAGCCTCTAAAGATTAACGTCAGAGCTCCATTCCCTTATCTGTAAGATGGGGATGATGATAACGCTGCCTCAGAAGGATACTTAAACCTGCAAGAATTAAACTACATAATCCATAAATGAATACAGTAAAAATTTAGCTCACTGCTTGGCACATACTAAGCACACAGTAATATTTGTTCCTGATATTATTACCAACCTTTTCAGAACCCCAGTTCTCCAGGGTTATCTTGATTCACTGCCCACCTCACTCCTACTTCTCTGTTGAAACTGCTCCCCTACAGGGCCTTTACACATTAGGAAGAAAGGAAGGAAGGAAGGAAGGAAGGTGGGTTCAGGAAGCTATTTTTTCAAAGCACACTAAATTCATTATTGAGAGACAACCTCTATTAATAACATTTTGGCAGCTATCTTCCCAGTTTTTTAATGCATTAATAAATATCCTTAGGAATTAAAACTTTTTAAATCAACAGAATAGGGATCATACTTTATATACACTTTTATAATGTGCCTTTTTGGCTTATGAGCACATCTCCATGTCGTTAAATGTTCTTCAATAATGTCCTTTAATTGCTACCTAATATTTTCTATGTATTTAGCTGTTCTCTTGTTGGACATGTAGATTTCTTGTCTCTGTTGTAAACAAAGCCACAATAATAATCTTTGTATATCAACTTCTGACCATTTCCTTATGATAAGGAGGACTTTGTTGCTCAGTCTCAGTGGTAATTCTCATTCCTTATCTTAGTGGGCCTGTTAGCAGCATTTGGCACAGCTGCTGGGTCCCCCTCCTTGAAATGCGTTCACACTCCTTCTCTCCTCCAGGTTCACTAGCCACTCTGCATTCTCCTTGGCTGCTGCTTCCATGTTCCCTGACCTCTTAGTGTTGGATGTCCCAGAAATCAGCCCTTGGACCTCTCTCTCTCTCCATACCCACTCCCTTATTGATCTCATTTAGTTTTGTGACTTTTTTGTGATTCCTTTTAGTTTTATGACTTTATCTCTTCTGCATGGATAATTCCCAAATTTATCTTCCAGGCCCGGACCTCGTCCCTGAATGTTAGATCGGTAGAGGCAACTACCACTCTGTCTCTAACTGGGATGTCAGATAGGGACTTCATACCTAACATGTTCAAAATAAATGCCTAATTTCTTGCCCCAAATCTCTTCCACCCACAGTCTTCCCCATCTCAGCGAATGGCTCCTTTCCCCTCCATTTACTCAGGCCAAAAAGCTTAGAGTCATCTCAGACTCCTCTCTGTCTTCCATACTCTATTTCTGATCCATCAGCAACTTCAATCAATCTAGATTTGACTGCTCCTCACCACCTCCTCTGCTACTACCTGGTCCAAGCCACCAACATTGATCACCTGGACACTGTCAAAGCCTCCTAAGTGGTCTCCTGCTTGTGCCCTTTCCCCACATCAGTCTATTCACACAACAACCAAGTAATCCTGTTAACATTTAAGCCTGCGTATGGCTTTCCACCTCACGTCCTCTCAAAGGCCCTGCATGATCAGACCCAGTTTCCTCTGCGACTTCACCTCCAGTCACTCTCCCCTCACTCCCTCTGCTCCAACCACATTGGCCTCCTTGCTTTTTCTCAAATACACCTGACAAACTCCTACCACAGGGCATTTGCGCTTGCTATTCCCTCTGCATAGAACTTTCCCCTACATGTACACGTGGCTTGCTCCTTCTTCTCCTTCAAGTATATGATCAAATATCATCTCAGCGAGGCCCACTCTGATCACCACATTTAAAACTGTATTCCAAAATTCTCTGTTCTCCCTTTCCCACTTTGTTTTTATCCATAACACTTATCACTAACATACTGTAGATTTTACTTACTCTGTTTATTGTCTGGCTCATCCCCTAGAAGGTAAACTCCACAAGGAAATTTTGTCTGTTTTGTCCATTGCTGTGTCCCCAGAGCCCGGCACATGATAGATGCTCAGTTGCTAATTGTTGATTGAGTGAATGAGTAAGCGAGAGCAGTGAGCCAGTGGACTTCTTGTAGCCCTCTTTTTCTTGCAGCTCCATTTCATCCTTCCCCCTCCTCTGTGTCTCCGACACTACCCAGTCCTAGCCCTGGCCCTGCTTACCCCTGGCCATGCCTCCTTTTTCTCCTCTGCATTCCTTTGTCTCTCCTGAGCCTTACTAGGTATCTTCAAAGATTAGATTTTTAAGGCTCTGTCCCTCAAGGAGCTCTTCCATCCTCTTGGCTTTGACCATGACCACGTGCTGCTCTAACCCAGAGTTCTGTCCACCAAGTCCTGTCCCTGACCCTTTGTGTCTTCAGTGGCCTTGGGTTTCACTTACCTTGGCCCATTAGTTAACTTTGACAAACCTCGGGTTCCTCATCTATAAAATGGAGATTATTAAAATAGAAAATATTTAACATAGCACTTATTAGGAGCCAGGCACCACTGTTCCAAACAAAATTACACATAGGTGGAAATCACTATTATGCCCATTTTACAGATGAGGAAACCAAGGCACAGAGAGTTAAATAACTTGCCCATTGTCTTGCAGTAGCAAGAGGAGCTGCATGTAAGCCTTGGAGGTTTGGCCCCAGAGTTTGTGCTTTTTTTATTTTGCAGGGGAAGATTTGCCCTAAGCTAACATCTGTTGCCAATCGTCCTCCTTTTTTTTTTCCCCTCTCCTTTTTCCCCCCCAAGCCCCCAGTACATAGTTGTGTATAGTTGTAAGTTCTTTTGGTTCTTCTATGTGAGCCGCTGCCACAACATAGCTACTGACAGATGAATGGTGAGGTTCTGCACCCCTGGGAAAAAACCTGGGCTACCAAAGTGGAGCACACCAACTTTAACAGCTAGGTCAGCAGGGCTGGCTCCAGAGTTTGTGCTCTTAACCAGTATGTTCAACTGCCTCCCAGTGCTCCTCTGATGAGCACAGATAGCATGAAATTTTATCTTATGGTTGGGTTCTGAACTTGGCAAGTAAGGCAGAAGAATGTATGTAGTCAAAATTAACCTTAAATCATTAACTCACCCCTAAAGTGTCCGGAATCTACAGTCTCTCAATGAGTTCAATGTAGAAGGAATCACAATTTTTTTCACTTGAGTACCAGATAGCCATTGGCTTGCCTTTAGAGACATGTTAAAACGTTATGTAAATAAATAGCGTGTATAGTTGAATTCCTGTAAGTGACTACAATCAGCCTGTGTTGTCCTTAAGAGGATCCTATAAGAGAGAAGTTTCAGTTGGGAGTTGGAGACAGGAGGGAGTTTTGTGATACTGAAATGAGATGGAGTCCAACTGTGCCTGGCACTTCACAGGCCCTCAGTGACCACTGGCTCTCTCCCCTTGCCTGATGGGTCAATGGCATTATACCAGACCCTGGAACACCCAGATCTCCAGCCTTGGCATCATCTCTCCACTTTGTTCCCCTTGTCTCCTTAACACAAACATCCACAGAGTCTGGGGCTTTTCCTCACGACCTGTGCTCATGCGCACATGCCAGCAGCCAGAGGCCCAGGTCAGCTCCTGTCACATTGGTGGGAACTAGAACCTTGGAGTCTGGGATTGTTTTCCTCATGCCACCATTCCCACTGCTCCAGTTCATCCTGCCATCATTGCCAGATTGACCTCTTTATTTATTTATTTTTTCTGGTGAGGAAGATTAGCCCTGAGCTAACATCTGTTGCCAATCTTCCTCTTTTTGCTTGAGGATGATTGTCACTGAGCTAACATCTGTGCCAGTCTTCCGCTTTTATATGTGGGACACCACCACAGCATGGCTTGATGAGTGGTGTGTGGGTCTGTGCCTGGGATCCAAACCTGTGAACCCCAGGGCTGCCCAAGTGGAGCATGCAAACTTAACCACTATGCCACCCGGCCGGCCCCAAGATTTTAAACCCACATCCATCATTTCACTCCCCCTTTCATAAATCTTCACTAGTTCCCCGTTTCCTACTGACGTCAAATCCAAACTCCCCTGCTTGAATGGTTCTTTGAAAAACTCTCTTTGTGAAACTATTATTTATTTGTATTAAGCTGTTTATTAAATAGCATTGCCAATGACTAGATTTTCAAACAGTTATGTATAATTAGATCAAGACTTAAAGCAGAAGTAAAAAGAGGACGGACAGGACTGAATCCAGCCCGAAAATATATTTCATTTTTAATATATTTTTTAAATTGAGTCATCTTTTTCAAAGAAAAATCCAGATTTCTGATTTCCCTTAAAAATGGGAAGATATAGGATACTGGAACCACATTCTCATGTAGAAACTTGGTTAGGGCTGAGAAGAGGTTGCCACTTTAGTGGGGACATGCTCTCTCCAGTTTATCAGAGTCCCCATCATTCTGCACTGGCTCCCTTGACTCACTGACATCATCGAACAGGCCCTTAGGGGTACTGAGTTTGCAACTCCTTGTTTACAGAAATACAAGAACGAGGTAGCTTTCTCACTACTCAGAAACCAGCATTATTTGGTCAAGCCCTGGTTTTCCTCTGTTTAAAATAGAGCAAACTCACACTGAATTTCTTCAATGCCCTCTGTAATATGCTCCCATTCTGTCATTCATTCACTTCACTCCTTCATTCAACACACATTTACTGAATGCCTGTTTTGTGCCAGGGACTCTGCTGAACCCTGGGGATACAGAGCTAACCAGGACAGAGTCCCTTCTTCCCAAGTGAGTCACACTTCTCTGAGCTGACCTTATTTATCAGGCTTCCCAGCCACGGGGTTAACTCCGCCAGCTAACGTCTGCTGCATCCCACAAAGGTGCATTTATTCGTATCCCTGGTGTCATTCTCTGCCCCTGTTTTCAGCTCTCTCTCTCTGGATCTGCTCCAGATCACACTCAGCCTGAAAGGCTGCTTGGCGCAGTCAAGGGACAAGCTGGGAGATGTGGGGTAAATTATTCCCTTACTCTGGGCTTGATTTCTTCTCTATAAAGCCCAGATTACCAGGCTACAGTCAGACTGTCTAGGGCTGAATGACTTCGGGCAAGTCACTTAATGTCTCTGAGCTTCCTCATATGAAAAATAAGAATAAGAGGGGGGGCCTGGCCCTATGGCCAAGTGGTTAAGTTTGTGCACTCCACTTTGGCAGTCCAGGATCTCACTGGTTCGGATCCTGGGAATGGAACTGGCACCGCTCATCGGGCCATGCTGAGGTGGTGTCCCACATAGCACAACCAGAAGGACCTGCAACTAGAGTATACAACTATGTACTGGGGGTTTGGGGGAGAAGAAGAAGAAAACAAAAAGAAGATCGGCAACAGATGTTGGCTCATGTGCCAATCTCTAAAAAAAAAAAAAAAAAGAATAAGAGGGTACGTATCTCCTAGAGCTGTTGCAAGAACTGAGTGATATAATTCATCTAAAGGGCTTAGCACAGTGCCTGACAAACAGTAAGTGATTACTAATGTAATGGTGACATTTTGCAACTCCAAGCTACTATTCCTACTGGAGGCCTCCCTGGTTATTTTAACCCCTGTGGGACTGTCCCTCCAAACTCTAATGTCCTCCACAATCAGTCATGTGAGTTATGCTCTGTCTTGGGTAGTTTTGTGCAGGCCTGAGGACTGGACCCTTGCCTGCCACTTGTCAGTGCCTAGCACTTCGTAGCAGGAGCTCAATCAGTGTTTGTTAAACTCTAGGTCTCCGGTAATGAACCAGCCATGGCTGCTGCAAAGGCTCCTGCCCTTTCAAGAGTGACGGAGATGAGGGCAGCCATCTGAGTAGAGTGGGCCAGGACCAGCCGAGGGAAAAGGAAAGAGACTGGGTTGTTCTTGGGCTGAACATCAACTCTGCTCCTGGAGAGTCCAGAATAGAGACCCCCTTCCCCTGGGCTCGTTCATTCTCTGGAAAGGCAAGTGGGTATCTAGTTGTTCCCCTCTGCTTTAATAGGCTCTCCGTGCCCTTCAGGAGGAGCAGGCCAGACTAAAGATGAGGCTGCAGGAGCTGAAGCGGGTCAGACAGGAGCACAGGGACTTCCCGCAAATCAAGGTAAGCTGGGAGAGGGGATGTGGCCTGGTAGAAAGGCGAGGAATTCTTAGTTTCCCTCCTGTCTCTGCCACTTCCTTGTTGTGTGGCTTTGAGTATGTTATTTGAACTCTTTGAACCTGTTTTCTCATCTGTAAAGTGGAGCTGCCTACCTCGCAGGCTTGGCTAAGGACAAACCAAGATCTTGTATGTCAAGTGCCAGTACAGACTTGACCTGTGTTCATCCACTCATTTATCCAGTTCTTCTTTCCATAAATGTATTCATCCCTGGCACTCGGTATCAATCATATGGAACTGGAGACACTTTCCTCCTGGGAGGGAGCGGAGGACTCTCCCACCCTCAAAGGCTGCATCAACCTCCCCACCCACCTCCAGGTCCCACTCCCAGTGCCGGAGATCCCCCTGGTGTTCCGAGGACACACTCAGCAGGGCAGGAAAGTGCCCAAGACTTTGGTTTCCAACCTGCGGATCTGCTACCCTCTGCCTGGAGGCTCTGCTCTGGTCACCTTTGATGACCCCAAGGGTGAGCTCTTGGGGAAGCCTTGGGAGGGAGGCTGCGAGGCTTCCCAGTACTGACCTGCTGCCCATACGCAGTGGCCCAGCAGTTGGTACGACAAAAGGAGCATAAGGTCCACATGGAAGAGTGCCGGCTGCCAGTGCAGGTCCAGCCCTTGGAGCTGCCCATGGTGACCACTATCCAGGTGACAGAATGGCGGGGTCCCAGGACATGCAGGGGCACCATGCATCTGGGTGTGGGAGAGTGGGGCTGTGCCTGGGACCACTCCTTCCTGTCTCCTTCTAGGTGTCCAGCCAGATGAGTGACAGGAAAGTGCTGGTCAGCGGGTTTCCTACCAGTCTCAAGCTGAGTGAGGAGGAGCTGCTAGACAAGCTGGAAATCTTCTTTGGCAAGACCAGGAACGGGGGTGGTGACGTGGAGACTCGGGAACTGCTGCAAGGGGGTGTCGTGCTGGGCTTCACTAGGGACGGAGGTAAGGGCCTTGCCAGGGAGATGAGAGCAGATGCATCAGGCCCCGGGAGAGGAGAGCCCTTGATGCTAAAGGTATACCCCTCCCTGTCCCCACAGTGGCCCAGCGCCTGTGCCAGATTGGCCAGTTCACAGTGCCACTGGGTCGGCAACAGTTCCCTCTGAGAGTCTCTCCCTACGTGAGTGGGGAGATCCAGAAGGCTGAGGTAAGTGGGAAGGTGGAGAATGGAGGCTGGGCCAGGTAACCTGCCTACCTGCCAGACACTTGCCCAAGGAAGGACTGGAGCCCCCAAACCCCACTGACCTATGTGCTGCCAGCCTCTCCAAGCCTCCTGCCCCCTCCCTTGCTCCAAAAGGCACTGCCTGCCCCAACCTTTGCCCCTAGCCTGACTCTCATCAGCCTTTGCCCATCTCCCGGCTCCTTTTCTAGATCAGGTCCCAGCCAGTGCCCCAGTCGGTGCTGGTGCTCAACATTCCTGATGTCCTGGATGGCCCGGAGCTGCATGATATCCTGGAGATTCACTTCCAGAAGCCCACCCGCGGGGGTGGAGAGGTAGAGGCCCTGACAGTTGTGCCCCAGGGACAGCGGGGCCTGGCGGTCTTCACTGCTGAGTCGGGCTAGGAGCCTACCCTTCTCAACACCCCCACCCCTCTGCCAAGGTTCTCAAACTGGGCTGGGGTTGGGTGCACGTGTACGAGAGAGACTGTGCTGGTCAACAGCGGGCAGGGATAATGAATTGTGAAACGCTGCCCAGGAACAGTAAAAGTGCCTGCTTGGCATGATCTTCTTCCTCATTTCAGTCCGTGAAAGCAAACTTGATTTGGGCACGGAAGGCTTGGGGGAGAGAAGAAACCTTACCCTTCCACTATCAGCACTGTCCTTCCATGAGCTCACTTTCCCCTCCACTCTCAGAGGCAACATCCAGGACCCAGGGTTTGGCTTTTTATTGACACAAACACAAAGGCAGCTTCGGTAATGGGGTGGGGTACACAAAAGCAGAAATCGCATTTCACTTGGGTAGGCCTCATGAAGATGAGCCCCTCCCGCACCTCCCACTGACAATGGCAATAACCCTCCCTAATTCTAGCTCAGAGAGCAGAGGGAGTTACACCCCTACCCTAGGAAGTCCCCACTTTGGTTCCAGTGGCCCAGGTCCTACTCTACCCCGTTGACTCCCCTGCTCCATCTCCCCACCCATGTAAACAAAGTTCAGGGCCGAGTTTGAAAAGCTGCCTCCCTGCTCTGAGAAGGCAGTGGGCCTCCCCTGACTACATGGGGAATGTGCTTTGATTTTTACTTTGGTCCCAGAACAAGAAACAGACAGCATTGCCTCTCAGAGCTCTAGCTGGTAAATGCCACACTTATCTGCAAGGCTGAGAAAGCTTCCCAGCCTCTTTCTCCTCAGCCACCATAGAGAAATGACAGCCCCAGGGACAGGACATAGCACAGACCCCGGGAGGCTAGGGCTGGCCCCCCACCCACTGGCACACACAAAGATTTTTGGCAGTGTTGTGGGACTGGGGGGGGAGCAAAATCCCAGCTCCACCAGAACAAGGAAGGCACTGGGGAGTACAGGGGTGGAGAAGGAGGTCCGAGACAGAGACTCCCCCCCACACATATACAAGCACAGGTTTTCCATTGCTAAGGCACTGAGAACAAATTCAGAGAACTCAGTGAAGGGTAGGGGGGCTTCGTGTCCCTCCCACAGGGCCGTGACCTAGCAGAGAAGGTCTGATTCCTGCCCTTGTTCTAAGAGGCAACCTTGGCTAGGAGTGGCAGAAAACCTGGAGGTGGAAGAAGCCCAGTTGTGCTTAAGAATCTAGGGATGGAGGACGAGGCCAAGCAATGAGGCAACAGAGTTCAGAGGTGGGCGCTGGTTAGCCCAGGTTGAAGGGACACTAGGGCGAGACACGGACATGCTGGACTCACACAAATTGGCCCCACATCCTGAGCTGACATTTCAATTCTTTGGGGAGGTGGTGGGGCAAGGGCAGGAGGAGAGATGAGGCAGAGGCGGAAGCACACAGAATAGGACGGGAAGGGATTGGCTGACCTTGGCACAAAAGCAGCACAGCAGGCCCGGGGAAAGGGTGGGGGCAGGAAGCAGCCAGCCTCACTCTGACCCTCCCTCTCCCCTTGGCAGGGCCCAGACATCCAAGTGGTCACTTCCCAACCTCTTCAGAGGGCAGGTGGAAGGGAGGGGGCAGCCCTGACTAAAGAGAAAGAACAGGGCAGGGGAGAGGTCATCACCACGGAGACCTCGTGGGGAGAGAGGGCAGAGCATTATGACAGAGGATGAAATGCGAGAGACTGGGGGCCAACAGAACGTGGCTTCCCAGCTTCTCTCTTCCTGGGTCTGAGGTCTCCCAGCCCCCACCCTAGTTCTCCTTCTCTGGTCCAGGCACCAGGATGACTTTGCCCACATTCTTCTTCTCCTGTATCTGCCTCATGGCATCCGCCACCTGGAGAGGAAGACAAGACCCTGCTCCCAGTGCCATCCGGCCCCTCCAAAGAGCCAGGCTAAAGGAGTGAGCCCTCCTCTTCCCATGAATCCTACCTCTGAGACCCCAGGCTTCAGGGGTTCTGCCCAGGCCCTCCCTGCAGAGCCATCACACTCACCTTCTCGAAGGGCCACACGGAGTCAATGTGGGGTTTGATGCGGCCCTCGTTGTAGAGAGCCAGGAGGCGGGCCACCACACCCTTGACCAGCTCCACCTCACCCTCCAGGTAGCCCAGGTGGAAGCCGCACACAGCTCGGTTGGCCGGCAGCAGCTGCAGAGCTGTCACGCTGAACTGATTCCACCACGTGCGTGCCAGGGCCATCAGGTTCCGCTTGGGGCCCGTCAGCAAGTTGGCCATTCCTGAGGGACGAGGAGTCACGGCCTGTGAATCCAGGTGCCAGGCACATCCCCATGTGTCTGGATCTGCGCCTGTCTGTCCCTTGTGGGCCCGTTACCATTATCCACACAAGCACCAGGGAGTGCCAGGATAATCCACCCAGTGTGGGCCACCAGGCCCCGATGGACTCCAGCTGACTAAGAAATTGCTCTAATCTTTATTTATTTGTTCACTTTTTGAGTGAAATTGTTTTTTAAATGAAAATGCAGCTTGCCCAAGAAGCCCAGGAGGGTAGGACAGAGGAAGGCAAACTGGTTGATTTTGCATCAGGAATTATCCCCAAACAGGAGCATAGAAAGGGCACAGAATTTACTACGACTCGCATGAAAATTTGTGAGAGAATGCCAGTAGCTGCGCCCAGGAAACAGCCATCTGAATGCAATAGCCAGGACCATCCTAACCCCGCTGCTCCCTCCAGAATACCTGAGTCCCTGCTCCCTCTTCATTCCAAAGCTCTGGGCCCCTATAGCCCACCCCTCAGACCCACGCTGCTTCGCCCCACTCGCCCCTCCATCCCCGGCCCAGTGACTCACCATAGGTGACCATTTTGCCCATGGGTTTGAGGAGGTTGTAGCCCTTGGCAGTATCTGATCCACCCAGAGGATCCATGACAATGTCCACTCCTGTCACAGAGTAGGGGGACCAGAAACAGCATTTGAATCCACAGATCTGGAGACCCCTTCCCTGTCCCGTGCCATCCTACCCCTTCCCATACCCTGACTGCACCTTTGGGGGAGATCTTCTTGATCTCATCCGCGTAGTCAGTAGTGTGGTAGTCGATGGGGTGTGTGACCCCATTCGCCTTCAGCACCTCGTGCTTGCTGGCCGAGGCTGTTCCAAACACTGTCACATTCTCCACTGTGCGGCACAGCTGCACGGCAGCCATACCCACACCCCCTGCAGCAAGACATTTTCATAAAGAGTGCATATGGAGTCACCCAGCCACTACTCTCCATTCTTGCCTCTCAAGGACCCAGACCATCACTTTCATTTTGTTTGGGCTCATTTTGAGGCTTTCTCCCCTCATCCCATGTCCAACGTCCATGATTAAGAATTGGAGGGAGGGTGGCTGGCAAGGAGGGGGTGCTGGGCGAGGCCACGTTGCTGTAGATAGCACACCAGACTGGACCTGGTGCCTGAATGTTACCAAGGCAACAACACTGCAGAGGCCTCTGGGTGCCATAGGCCCCGGCAGCCTGGTGTTGCCATGACAACAGTCCAGACAGGCTGCAAGGAGAGGGCTGGAAGGAAATCTGGGTGGGGTAAGGAGGGGGGATAAAGGGAGAGGGCTTGTCACCTGCAGCCATGTGTACTAAGACGCTGTGGCCAGGCCGTAGGTTGCCAAAGTCAAAGAGGACCATGTAGGCTGTGATGTAATTGACCAACAAGGCAGCGGCTTCCTCAAAGGTCATGGCCTCAGGCATCAGGAAGGTCTGGGCAGAGGACACAGTCACCTCCTCCTGCCACATGCCTGACCGGATCAACACCATCACCCGGTCCCCTACCTTGAAGAATGGAAGAAGAGCATCATTCAGTCACTCATTCATTCACCCAATGGCGATTTAGAACTTTCCACTACATACAAGGCCCTCTTCCTAGCAATGAAGTAGCAGTAGAGAGCAGCAGCAGCAGTCATTGTAATAATAATATTAATATCATCAAAAACAATAACCACTTACCTTTACTGAGTGCTAGGCCCTAATATAAGTGCTTTATACAAAGTGCTCTGTTAATCTTTACATCAGCTCTTTTTTTTTTTTTGAGGAAGATTAGCCCTGAGTTAACATCCATGCCCATCTTCCTCTCCATGCCCATCTTCCTCTACTTTATACGTGGGACGCCTACCACAGCATGGCTTTTGCCAAGCGGTGCCATGTCCACACCTGGGATCTGAACCGGAGAACCGCAGGCCGCCGAGAAGCGGGATGTGCGAACTTAACCACTGCGCCACCGGGCCGGCCCCTGCATCAGCTCTTTGAGGTAGATACTATCCTTATCTCCATTTTACAGCTCTTACACTTCACTGTTGTGTAAAATCTCTGAATGCAAGAAGCTTACAGTTAGGGCAGCGTGAAGTACTGTGGAAGAGATCAAACTGCTTTGGTTAAAAAATGGGCTCCAGGGGGCCGGCCCCATGGCTGAGTGGTTAAGTTCACGCGCTCCACTTTGGCAGCCCAGTTCGAATCCTGGGCACAGACATGGCACCGCTCATCAAGCCATGCTGAGGCGGCATCCCACATGCCACAACTAGAAGGACCTACAACTAAAAATACACAACTATGTACTGGGGGGCTTTGGGGAGAAAAAGGAAAAATAAAATCTTTAAAAAAGAATTAAAAAAAAAAAGGCTCCACTGTTTACTGATAGTGTGAGCTTGGGCAAATAAAAATTATTTAACCTTTTTGAGCCCCAGTTTGCCTATGTAAAATAGAGCAGTTATGAGGATTAAGTAGCAAAAAAATCATTCAGTGATTTTTTAGCCCAATGTCTGGCACATAGTAAGCACTTAGTAGTGTTAGCTAATAATAATTACAATAATGACAACACCAATAGCAAGGAGAGGTCACCAATCCAATAACTGAAGGAAGAAGACAGGATGTGATGAGGGCCATACCAAAATGAAGAGGAAGGTCTCTGAGCATTTGGGGCTGGGTGCTGTCACCTCAGGAGAAGCATTTGAGCCAGCTCTGGGGGCCCAGAAAACACCTTAACCCAGAGATGGGGGAGAGGTGATGAACAAGGAGAGCCACACAGTCCCACACACGAGGAAAAGGCAATTCCCCCCCAGACTCAGCCACCTGCACGAGAGCGTCCTTGCAGGAGGGAAAGTGGGCAAAGAAAACAGAACCTTTCCCTCCAGCTTAGCAACTGGGGTCAACGGAAGGACACGGGAAAGGGGGCAGGCTCAGGAGAAAGGAAGGTCTCTCCTAGCTCTCTGAAGAGCATGGAGAGGGAGGTGTGGGTGCTGTTCCAGGACAATCCTGGTCTGTCTTGGTCCCTGCCAGGAATGATGGGAATTCTGTATGTTACCCAGACTTGGGAATCCATGGGGAAGGGGGATGGGACTCCAACACACTTCCTTTTTCATGTTCTCAAGCCCCCGCACTCCACTGATAAGGAGCACTGAGGGCAGGCTGGGATCTTCCCCTACAAGCACTGGCCCGAGGTGAGGTCTGGGGAACGGAAGCATTTCACCCCAGGACTCAGTACCAGCAGACTTGGAAATAACCCAGCAGAGCTGGGAAAAGTACAGTGGTCAGTCCAGGTTGTGGCCAGTTCCAGGTCTGGCCCAGAACAAGGCTCGCTTATCCGGGCTAATGCTCACCCCTCAGCCCACCAGAGGGCATGGTCATGGTCCCCCCGCAGCCCAGATATCAGGAGGGAGGGAGGGCTCTCCCCACAGAATCCAGCCTCTTACATCAGATTCTTGCTCTGGACAGGATATCCTGTATTTACCAAGCGGAAAGTGAGGGGAGGGGAGGTTAGGTGGGTGGCCTTCAGCAGTAATGTGAACTACAACTCCTCCACCAAAAAAAGAAAAAAAAAATTCCTCTTAGCACCTTCTCAAGAGTGGGATTATTTAGAAGCCAGTGGAAAGGGTGGGGTCAGAGCTGGATCCAGGGAGAAGCCCTTTAAGGAGGACATGTTTTCACGTACAATAAATCCAAGAATTCCAGCTCTGGGATCTGAGACTGGCAGGACCAGCAAGAGGAAGGCTGCGTCTAAGGGGACTCTTGCAGGGGCTTGATTTGAAAAGAAACCCCTAAACAAACGAGGTGGGAAGCCCTCACCCCAGGTCGCTCAAAAAGTTGGTCACTTGGAACTCTCTGGTGTCCGGGGTTGTGCCCAAGATTAACGATAAACGAAAAGGAGAAAGAGACCGGCAGAGCTGGGCTAACCTGCTCCCGGTGCCACACCCCCTACCCCAGTCCAAATGGGCAGCGCCAGGGGTTCTGAAAGTCCTCTGCGAAGAGGGCAGAGGTACGTTCCGCCCAAACGTTCCCAAAGGCAGCCCTGGGTCGTGGCCCGCTGGCTGAGTCACTGGAGGAGGAGATATTGCAGTCACGGGAGACAGAGAGCCCAAGACAAAGATCCAAGGACCCAATCTCGCTCTCTTCCACCCCAAGATCAGACGGTAGTGTAAGGCCGGTGGGGTGGGTGAGGGGCGGGTGGCAGGCTCTCTCTCCTCCATGATGGGTGTGCCTCGTCTCCTCGGTCCTGCTCTGAGAGCGGCGCCTCACACCCCCACAGACCACGGGGCTGCATGTGACTAGGGCTCTGGCTTGGCCATGCGCCCCCGCCCAACCCCGACTACATAGCTCCAGCTCCCTCGGGGAAAGAGGCACTAATCGTCACTCAGGGTCACAGACCACAATTACCCGGGGAGTGATTGGTGGGCAGGGGTACAGGTGTGGTTTTACCGGGGTAGGGCTGGGGGGGGGGGGGGCGCCGCATTGTGCGCATGCGCGCGGGCGCCTTATTGTTTTCCCCCCCACCGCCGCTTCTGGGCGGCGGCCACAATTAAAAATGGTCGGGGAGGGGGAGATAACTCTATCTTCACCCTCCCACCACCACCTTTAAATATAAATCCAGTTCCCCAGAAGCCTCAGACCACAGGCTCTTCTCCCACGCCTTCCATGCCCGTCTAGCCGGGCTCGTGCCAATTTCGCCCGCCCTGCCACACCCCCCTGCGCCCGCCCACTCGTGCCCCACTGCCCCGCGGCCTGAGCAGCCTCTCCCCGTCTGGTCCTGCGCTGGCCCGCTCACTCACCTTGCGGTCGGTGACTCCCTCGCCCACGGCGATCACGACGCCCGCGCCCTCCATGCCCGGAGTGACGGGCAGCGGCGGCAGCCGGTCGTATAGCCCCTGCCGGGCCATCAGGTCGGCGAAGTTGAGCCCGCAGGCCCGGACGCGCAGCGTCAGCTGGTCAGGCCCGGGGGCCGGGGGCGCAGCCGGTCGGCTCTGCAGCTTCACCTTGTCGTAGCCGCCGAAGCCGGTGAGCACCAGGCAGCGCAGCGGCGGCGGCGACGCGGCCGCGGCCCCCTCGGAGACCGCGGGCGGCTGGGCATCGCTGGCTGGTTCAGCGTTCGAAGGCTGCGAAGAGGCGTCTTCTCCGGCTCCTGCCTCGGCCGCTGCCACCACGGTGGCCGCTTCGGCTACCTCTCTCTCGGCTGACATGGCTGGGACTCCCGACGTGCGCGCACAGCTGGACCGAGGGTGCGCAGCTGGGGAAGGCGGGGCGCGCGTCAGGCCGAGCGGCGGCGGCGGACTCCCAGCGGGCGGGGCGGGGCGCCGGGCCGGAGGCGGGGCCTCGCGCGGGGACTTAAAGGGCCAGGGCCCCGTGCGGGTGCCGCGGGAGCGCGAAAAGTGGAGACCCGAAAGTCTCGGGACGGACCTACGCGAGGGCATTCTTTGCGTCACGCAGACCGCGATTTAATTTACTTATTTATTCATAGTAAGCCTTATGCTAGTTAAAAAAATATGTTAAGGGACGGTCTGAAGGAAGATCCCAAAACCTGAGCTTACATCAGATTTGGGGAGTCGGCCACCTGTGGGCCGAAACCCTACCAGGTTGTTCCTCAGGCTCTGACTCTACCCATATGTGACCCCTTCCGTGATGGTCTTGCAGTGGCAAACTTGGAGCAGGGAGATCGAGTCTTTAAAACTTAACATCTGACTCTGTTAAAGCTCCGTACCTCAATTATCCCGTCTGTAAAGTGGTGATGATGTTGCTTGCTCTCGTTATCTTTACAGGGTAAAGATAAAATTAAATCAAGTATCCTCGACTTAAAGAAGCCCTTTTAAAAGGTAAAAGATAGGGGCCGGGGGCCACCGCGCGGCCGAGTGGTTAAGTTCGCGCGCTCTGCTTCGGCGACCCAGGGTTTCGCCAGTTCGAATCCTGGGCGCGGACATGGCACCAGGACATGGCACAGCTCGTCAGGCCATGCGGAGGAAGCGTCCCACATGCCACAACTAGAAGGACCCACAACTGAAAATACATGTCTATGTTCGGGGTGGGGGGAGGGTTGGGAGAAAAAGGAAAAGTAAAGTCTTTAAAAGGTAAAAGATGCCATACAAATGCAAAACAGTGGTTTGATTATTGTTAGACTCCAGATCAAGCCTGAAGTGACTTTAGAGCTTGTCTCTGGCTCCAGCTGCGCTGTCACTTTGGGCAGTTCTATCTTCCTCTACTTCCTCCCCTTCTCTGTCTCCCCGAAGAATCCACCAGAGGACGCAGCTCCCCCAAAACGTTCCACCCTGCGTTTAACTGGAGAAACTCAATCCACGCTTCCCTGCTAGTCCAGGCTCGCCGTTAAATCACTACAGCCCCAGACTAGGCCGTCTGTTGCCATGGGGACGGAAAGCCATGATGTCACCGTGTCCCGGTGGGTGTGCTGGAGTCCATACCCTCATATCCCCAAGACTCCCTGCCGGGACGTGAGACTGAAGGAGGGAGACCAAACCAAAAGCTCTCCCTTCTTTCTCCACCATCTCGCGCCCCCTCCTGTTCAGAAAGTGGATGGCTGCCCCCGCGCGTGTCCGCACTAGCACACCGGCGTGCACGAGTGGGCACGTAGAAGGCCGAGCCTCGCGCGTGTGGGGTTTCCACCCTAACCCTCAGAACTTCGCCCGAATTCTGCCCCGTCCTCATCCCCAGAGATGTCAAATCAGTCAAATCAGCCCGGCTCAGCCATCCCCAAACCAGCGGGATCTCCTAAGCTCACACCAGCGCGCCAGAAGGCACTCTGGGGCCTAGGTTTCCCTGGGCCCCGCCCAGCCCTTCTGGGCCCCGCCCCCCGGCTGCGCGGGCAGGAGGCGGGGCCGGGGGCGCGGCCGCCGGGCTGGGGGCGGGGCGGAGGGGGGGCCGCGGCCCCCGGCGGGGGCTCGGCGCGGGCCCGCGAGATGCCGGTGTCGGCGGCCCGGGAGGCTGCAGCTGCAGCGGCGGGGGAGGCGGCATCGGGGCCCCGGAGGGGGGCTGCGCGGGGGGCCGGCGCGTAGCCGGGACTATGGAGGGGCAGAGCGGCCGCTGCAAGATCGTGGTGGTGGGGGACGCGGAGTGCGGCAAGACAGCGCTGCTGCAGGTGTTCGCCAAGGACGCCTACCCAGGGGTGAGGGACCCGCTTCTTGAGAGGGGGGCGCCGAGGCAGCGGGGGTGGCTGACTGGGGACCAGAGGACGGACGGAAATGGGTGCTAGGGTAACCAGAGAAGAGAGAGAGGGGCTCGGAGGGCCGGGGGAGGCTTTGGGGGCTCTGGAGGGACTGCAGAGGATTGGGGTGGGAGGAGTTGGGGAGCAGGGTGAGATGAATGGGGTTTGGGGGAACCAGATTATCCCAGAGGGGGCGCTAGGGGAATGTCGGGGGTCCTGGGCATCGGAGAGGGGACTAACTAGGGGCTGAAGGGATCGGGAGGGGGTCTGGGAGCCTAGCAGAGATTCCGCTGAAGCAGCTGCTCTCGGTACCCCCCCTTTGCCCAACGCCGGACCAACTTGTGTCCAGGGTCTGGGCTGGACGGGGCGTGGGAGTGAGGAGGGCATTTGTCTGGGGTGAGGACTGGAGGCTCTCATCTTGACCCATCCGTGTCTGCAGAGTTATGTCCCCACGGTGTTTGAGAACTACACCGCGAGCTTTGAGATCGACAAGCGCCGCATTGAGCTCAACATGTGGGACACTTCAGGTAGTCAAGTCCCTCGGGGTCACCCTGACTTCCAAGGCCCCCACCCTGACCCCTCCGTTGGCCAGACCCTTAGGCACCAGGTCAGCTCAGCCCATCCATCCAATTCCAAGAAGAAAGAAAATCAATTTTTGGCTAAAGCCAGGGAAACTGAGGTAGAGCTTGTGAGACACATAGAAATCGTGTCCTGAAGGAGAAAGCCCAGTATCCGATCCCCTCAGTTGGATTCCACCCACCTGGGAAAGTTGGGAGGGAATGGCTTTTATTTTGGAACGTGCTTCTTAGGAGATAGGACTGGGTTTAGGAAAGACATTTAGAATTTCTTTGGGGGGTGGGCAACTGCTTCTCTAGACTGAACTATAGAAATCTGAGATCAAGTCCCAAGAGGGTGGGAGAGCTCTGCCCCTCCCCCTCCTCCAAAAAAGGAGGAGGGTTTTTATTTTTACTGGCTCCCCTGAAGGGCTTTAGAAGATGTCTGTCAAAGCCTAGAAAACACATGCAAAATTTTGTGAGAATGTTGGGAGATTTCATGAGCTTCTCAAAGACTCAAAAAAATTAAGAATGATTACTTTTAGAGAAACCTCTAGGGAAGTGGAGAGCTGTTTTCTGCTGTTTAACCTCGCCTGTGGCGGCTCCCCTCCTTGGAGAAACACAGACTTCTCGATGGGTATTAATAACTGTTCTTTTCCATTCTCTGCTCCTAACATCCCTTGACCAGGATTGCTAAGGTCTCCCACTCCCTTCCAGGCCTCCCACCCGCTCAGGACCCTTGTCTGTCCCCTCCCTCCCTGTCTTCTCTCAGGTTCCTCTTACTATGATAATGTCCGGCCTCTGGCCTATCCTGATTCAGATGCTGTGCTCATCTGCTTCGACATTAGCCGACCAGAAACACTGGACAGTGTCCTCAAGAAGGTGGGAGCCTGGGGAAGCAGGACAGCTAGACTGAGGGGACCTGGAAACCATGGTCCTGGCCCAACATGGGCCAGGAGGGCAGAGTGACAGCTGGGGCACGGCCATCAGCTGGAGAGTGCGTGAAGCTCTCATCCTTCGCCGCCACCTCTGCTTCCTGGAAATCGGTCCTCAGAGCTGGATACTGCATCTGGGGGAGATGGAGGAGAACAGGGAGAAGCACTCAAGGGACTCCTTATCCACTTTCCCCACCTCCTTGGGTGTGGGAGCCCCAGATAGAGGGGACGGGAATGCTGCTCCTGGAGCTAAGGAAGGTCCTGTAGTCTTCTCTCAAGGCCTCTATTTCCATGAGAAAAGCCCATGGTGAATGGACAGAAGTCTGCTAAGGCAGCCCCAGTTCCCAGGCGGTTCCCTGGGGGGGGGGGGGGGAGGGGAGGGAGGTGGGGGGGGGTGCTGGGAGGTGGATTGGTCTATTCCCAGAAGAAATTTGGGAAAGGGGGTGGGAATGGAAAGATTCCAGGCTGGCAGACCCTTCATAGCCCCCGAGGTAGAAGCAAGACCCCCAATCCTACAGCCTCACCCTACCCCTCCCTCCCTCCCCTTCTTCCACACCCCATCCTGTTTTCAGCCCAAGCCCACCATTCCCACCTCCTTGCTCACATGAGAGAGTGAAGAGGGATGCATGGTTTCTGCATGCTATGAGGAAGAGCGTCCTCCTGATGTGGAGCAAGAGTTCACCCTGTGCCTCCTTCTACCCCTCCATAACTCTGTTTTCTTTCCCCAAATAGTGGCAAGGGGAGACTCAGGAGTTTTGCCCCAATGCCAAGGTTGTGCTGGTTGGCTGTAAACTGGACATGCGGACCGACCTGGCCACACTGAGGGAGCTGTCCAAGCAGAGGCTTATCCCTGTTACACATGAGCAGGTGGGACCCTTAACCTTTGACCTAGTCTCAGCCTAGACCTCTTACCTCTGTCCCTCTAGATCTCTGATTTGGAAACACCCTACTTGGCTCATCCCTTGCCTTGACCTGTGACCTCTGGCCTGATCTCTTGACCCCTCCCGGGCCTCAGCCTCCATACTTCTTGCTGAGCTGCAGGCTAAGCCCCACAACTTCCTCCATGCACTCCATCCTTCCAGGGCACTGTACTGGCCAAGCAAGTGGGGGCTGTGTCCTACGTGGAGTGCTCCTCCCGGTCCTCTGAGCGCAGCGTCAGGGATGTCTTCCATGTGGCCACAGTGGCCTCCCTTGGCCGTGGCCAAAGGCAGCTACGCCGTACTGACTCACGCCGGGGACTGCAGCGATCCACTCAGCTGGCAGGACGGCCGGACCTGGGGAACGGGAACGGGAATGGGACCGAGGGCGAGATACACAAGGATCGAGCCAAGAGCTGCAACCTCATGTGAGGGGCCAGAATGAAGCAGAATGTGAGAAGGGGTGGTGAGGGCACAGTTGTCCCCTGCCTGCACCTGGGCTTCCTGACCTCCTGACTCTGGCTGGGACTTCAGGGCATGCGGAGTGAGCGATTCTCCTGGGCAGGGGAGCTGGAGGCAGAAGATTGCCACCATTCCCCACATCCTCATCCCCCTCCTCTCCACAGGAAGTAGAGGGAGCTAAGGGCAGGCATCTGGGCCGGGAGCTGGGATGGGGCAGTGGGGTTGGAGAAGCTAGCATCAAGCAGTGACCTTGGCTGAGTCTCAGTAGATGAAGGGTGGCTTCCCTCCCCACCCCCAGCCCCCATATCCTGGTCCTGGCTTCCTTCCCTAAGTAAAGTATCCATTCGATGACCTTCCCTTTTCCTCTCCTTTCACTTCTACAGCTGTTCTCACTCATTCTAACCTCCAGGCAACAGGCACCAAATTAAAAAGCAAGTTAAGAAGCCCCTCCCCCCATTTACCCACCAGTCCTAGCTCCCTGCCTCCCTTTCCCCAAGAGTCCCCAAATAAAGCCCATGTCCATGGAAAACGACTGTGGCTTTAGTTTTATTGCTTTCTAAAAAACCAATCTACCAATTTCTGGCAGCAGGAGGAAAGTTACACTTCAGGGAGGCCTTTCCTGTCTATGCCTACTGATGGAGCAGAGGAAAAAGCCATGGGCTGGATCAGTGGTGTCCATTTAGGAGCCAGAGGTGGGAGAGTGAGATATCTTGGGAATATTTATCTCAGTTAATGAGCCAGACAATCCTAAGGCCATTAGGGGGTTTTAAAGTGGACTGATGTGCAATTCATTACTCAGCCCAGCTGGGGCCCCCTGCTAGTGTGGGAGGGGACCTGCTGAAGTGGTCCAGGCCCCTGGTTCACCATCTCCACCCCGAGCTTGGAATCAATCTGATGGTGGCTTGGGAATTGTCGGGGTAGGGAGGGCATCAAAAGCCTCCACAGCACAGAAGTAAACCCTCTGCAGGGTGAAGTTTCCCAACGGGACAGTAGTTTGATTCTGGGGTCTCCTCGGAGGTGAGGGCAGGGGCTCTTGCCCTCTTTCCATCCTGAGCTCCTTGATGATTTTGGAAGGAGCATCAGCGGTGAGTTTAGGGCCACACCCCCACCCCCAACCCCCTGGAGAAGGATAGCCGGTGGAGGGGCTGGCTGGAGCGCTTGTTGTCAGGAAAGACAGTGCTGGTCTGTTTTCTCGGGAGTCTGGTTTCACATTGTCCCGTATTCCCTCTCTGGCTCTGGTCCCACTGGCCTCTTTTCAGTGACATTCTCCCCCAGGAACCATCCCTAGCCCTCCCCTCCCCTCCCCCAGCCCCAGCCAGTTCTTCCAGACACACTGGGAGAGAACACGGACCTTATTACCCTCCCATCTGCTGGGATCCCCCTAATTCACAGCCCATCCCTCCTTCATTCATTCAGTAAATATGTACTGAGCACCAACTGTATGCCAGACACTAGCTTGGGATTCTGAAAGGACCAGCCTCTGTGCTCTGGAGGCAAGCCCAGCAGGAAAGAGAGGTGTCCCAGGTGTGACTGTGCTTTGCCTGAGGGAGCCAGTCTGAGCCAGTCCTGAGGGTTGAAGAGGAGTTTGCCAGGCAGGGAAGGGGTAGGAAAGGCACTCTGAGTAGAGGGTGCAGCATGTGCAAACACGTGGAGATGAGAAAAAGCATGGCACTGTTGGGGCTGCCATGGCGGGGAGGGCAGAAGACAAGGCTGGGAACGTACATCAGGGTCACTGCAGGGCCCACAAAGGAACCAGGACTTCATTCTGAGGGTGTAAGGAGGCACTAGGGATTCCAAGCAGAGAATGAAGTGACCAGATTTGGTTTTTGGATAGATGGTTATCTGGATGAAGCTAGGGGATTCAGCTCTGAGATGTGTCATTCAAAATAGCCTCTCCTTTCCCTATGCCAGGGCCCAGTCTTGAGAGAAAAGGAAATCCCACCCACTTCTGGCTCATCAGACACCCCTTTCCTCCCATTCCTACAGGACCCTGTCCTGGTCCATCTCAACCAGTCCCCTCAAGGATTCTCGGACAGCTTCAAGGGCCCTGGACACCCTACCCCCTCAAACTGAGACCTGGTTAGGGGCATCTGAGACCCTCCTCAAGGACCCTGAGTCCTGGATTGAGGGTACTGGAGAAGGCTGGGGCCCAGCTAGGTGGCTCTCAGTCTGGTCTCAGAAGACTGACCCGTCCCCCACAGGGACCTGTCATACCATTGACTTGGGGTTTTTGGCCACGTGGCTTCTCTACTTCACCCTGGACTTTGGTACAAAGCAGGCTCAAGCCTGTAGCCGTCAAAGCTCAGCGTTTGTGCTCCCTCTCTTTTCCCAACCTCCCTCTCCTGCTGCGCTCAGGGAATGCAAACGCATTTCAATATCTGCCTAAAGCAAACATAATTAGGAAGATAAATCAGCTGGAGGAACCCCAAAGTTTAATACATTTCCAATACGACCAGGAACAGATTTTGGTCTCCTCTGCAGGTCTGGGTTGCCAGATATTTTATTTCTGGGAGAGGGCTGTGCCCCTGGGCTGAGGAGCCCAGTAAGTGGGAGGGGGGAAGGGGGCTGTTCCTGGATCCTGAAACGCCCCAGAGGGCTGGAGGGAGGAGAACTTACCCCCACCCCCACCCCAGATGCAGGAGTCAGACCCAGCTTCCTCCTCTGCAGCTGTTTCCCCCCACAAATTAGACACTCGTTTGGGAAACAATGTAGCCTCGTTAATCATTTAATGAAATAAACAACTAATCATGCTGTGATGCTGCCAGTGTTTCTTAACCTCCGCAATCAACCCGCCCAGGAGGGAGGACGGGGATGGAAGGGATGCGGTGGGGACTTGGTCTAATCTCTGAAATGCTTCTGCTGACAGAGGGTCGTCCCTCTGTGACTCCAGCCTTCCCAGGAGGGAGTCGTAAAGAGAGCTGGATCTCAGCTCTGCTGCTGCCTCCCTGGGAGCCTTTGGCGAGGCCCTGCACCCGTCTGAACCCCAGTTTGGAAAAGGGAGCTGATCACATCTATCTCCTGTTGTTGAGGAAGATCCAGAGAGGAGAAAAGATGTAGAAAAGCTGTTTGACCCTTTAGGGGGCTGAACTGATGTCAACCTTTATTTTTTACAAGCTAGACATCCGGGCTTGAGTGCTTCTGAGCTGGGCCTGAGGGAATCAGGAAAGGCTTCTTGGAGGGGGCTTCTTGTGCTGGGGATTCAAAGGCTGGAGGAAGGCCAAAAGACAGGAACGGGGAGGTCACTGTGTCTTGTTCCCACACCTATCCTGAGGGCTAGAGAGCTTTAGTGACACTTCCAAAGGCTGAGGTCCTTTAGTCCCCATTTTTCTGAACTCCCCCTCATTACCTTTTCTTACGTCTCTGGGTGAGGACCCCATTTTGCCATAGTGACCCCATCCCAGATACACTCAGACTGGTCCTGCAGGCTGAGGAAGTTGGGGGGAAGGGGTCATATCCCCAAGTTCCTGGTGGACAGCAGGACCCTGGCAGGCAATCCGGCTACACTTCTCTCCCCCTACTCCCCTCTCTCTTCCCCAGGAAAGGGGTTCAGCTCTTCTGAGTATCCCTCCTTCCCTCTCTGCCAACAAAGGAGTTTCTTCTACACACTGCAGCCCCTCTCCCACCTTCCCACTTCCAGCTGGGTTCTCAGGTCTTCCTCCATCTCTAGTCAATCCCCTACTCTCCTCAAGGCTGGGGTTGAGGGTCAGAAAGAGGGGAGGCTCCAGGTCCGGGTGGGGTGATTCTCAAGCAGCTATCCTTCAGCAGCCTGAGAGACAAGAGGGACACATACATAAGTACCCCTCCCCCCCAAGAAAATGCCTCTGCTGTTGACTCCTAAATAACAGATGTCTGTCTGCATATTAATGAGATTGGACGAATAATTGGTGAGTTTTTCATTCAGTGTCAGAATGAACCCGGACGCCTTATGTTCATGCACACAGGCACACAGACACCAACCCCCCTCCCCCGCAACTCTCCCCCTTCCACCAGAACACAATGAGACAGACGCAGATGCTAGCAAGCCTGATCCACAATGGGGAGGGCAGACAGGGAACCGGGAGGGGGTGTCAGCAGGAGGGAGACCTCCACCGTCTGGGTTTGTGGGGTTTCTCCTTGATTAGTTTCCCCAGCCCCCTAAGGGCAAAAGCTTGCATTTGTGAGATTTCACCACTATGCAGGAGCCCAGAGGAAGGTGGGAGCCAAAGGGTAGAGAGAGTTGTAGGGGGAGGCAGGCACTGCCTAGAGGGGAGCAACCAAGCAATGGCCTCCTTTAGTGAAGTTGTGCCTCCCATGAGCCTGGAATCAGCAGGCCCCTTACCTTGCTTAAGCCCCTGTGCCAGGATGTGAGGTGTAAGAACTGAGATTTTGGAGTCAGACAGCTACCATTCGCCAGCTGGGTGCTCTTGTGCAAGTTACCCAACCTCTCTGAGCCTCTCACTCTCCTTGTCTCTAAAAACACCTACCTTGCAAAACTGAAAGAACGAAATGAGATAAAGTGTGTCATGTGTCTGTCTTTGTGCCTGGTTTATACTAGGCCCCAACATATAGGTTCTCCCCCCACCTATCCCCAAGACACTTTCAAAATTGCTGCCTCTCTTGCTAGACCCACCCTTGTTAGGGCAGGGGCTAATTAGAAGTTTAGTAATTATCCTGGCTGCCTGGAAACTGGGAGAAGATACAGAGAGGGGCAAGAACAGAGATTAGATAGAAACAGGAGCGCGAACTGATGGAAACCAAGGCCTGGAGTAGGAGGAAAGAGATCACATTGATCTAGAACCGCAAACCAGGAACGGAGAAGGTATTATAGGCAGGTGAAGCGAGCCCTAGAAAGAGTCTAGAATCTAGACTGTAGGTTCTAGGAGCCCCAGTTCTACCATGAACTGTTTGACCTTAGCAAGTCTTCTCCCTTTTTAGTATCAGTCTCATCTGTAAAATGAGGGGGTTGGTTTGCTCTCTAAGGTCCCTTCTCATTGTGTGAGGAGTCCCAGTGGCCTGAGCTACAAGGCTGCCTCCCCTCACCACACACACACACTCTCTATGGCCCATCAGTCACTCTTCCTCTGTTTCCTCTCTCCCTTGGTGAATGGATCTGCTGCGCCAGCAAACAACTGTCCATTGTGTCCTAATGAGGGACGAGCAGGGAAAACCAATCACTTATGATGCAAATGAGCGGCGGCTGCAGCCTCCTTGCTTTCACTGAGTGCCTCTCTCCGGCCTAGACCCCGGCGCTACCCCAGTTGGGCCTTTCTCCCTAGCCTCAGTTCCCATCTGGTCCTGGAGGAGGGGGGAGACCCAGACTGGCCTTCCCATTGTCGTTCATTGTCACTCCCTGCAAGGAGCCTCAACCCTCACAGTCTCGAGAGGCCCAGCTTCTCTCCTCACCCCAAAGAGCTCCCAGGGCAGCTCAGTTTTTGTTTTTTTGTCTTTTTGAAGGAAGATTAGCCCTGAGCTAACTACTGTCACTCCTCTTTTTGCTGAGGAAGACTGGCTCTGAGCTAACATCCATGCCCATCTTCCTCTACTTTATACATG